ACAATTAATCTTAACTACAACCCGACATTTCGGATACTTTGCAGTAGTCGTGGTCACGGGGGCAATGTAACAATAAAAGATAATACTAATTTTACACGAGCAGAATAAGCAAGAATTTAAATAATTATTAATGTACGTAATCATAGTAGACTAAAACATCAGAAAAGCTATCGGTTCGATTTAAAAAAGCCGGACTGAGTTTCTTGAGTGTTCTTCTCAGTTATGTCACTCTGTCACGACGAACAGACAAACGTAAATAAAATATTTTGGCGTATCTAAATAATTTCTTAGATTAAAGTAAAGTATATTTGATTTGATTTTATTTTGATCTTGTGTAAACTATATCATAAATAGTTATAGATATTTATTCGTACTTTGATCTGCCCTATAATAAATTATGTCAGTTAATATAAGAATTGTATATTTTTTAGAAACAATAAAAGGAACCCTTATCAACAATGTTTGCGTGTAAGCTTATCTCGTTTTATTTGTAAAGCTAGAAAGGTGTAAATTGGACCTCGGGGCTAAAATCAACACTTTTCATTCGAAACAAATCGATTTTATATTATTAAAGTATTATTTTAATCTGCGCGTGTATTTAACTACTGTAGGCTTAACACCGTTCCTTAATCCATTGCTTTTGTTTTCTGTTGCCTACAGGCATTTGGAAATAGATTTTTTATAAAGTAGAATCTACTTATGTTCTTGTTTAATAGATTAATATTAACCATTTATAGTCAAACTAGACTACGATGGTTAAACGAATTATACCTATAGCTTATGGTCTAGTGAACCGAGTTTGAGTCTTATCAAGACAAAGAGAGGATATTGCTTCGATTTGCAGATATAAAGAAATCAAATCAAATAACTTACAAAACTCTACGAAACCGACAAACCTAATGTATATCACAGAAACATGTCTGCCTTCGAGTCCATTATAGGAGAGATTTTAGTAAATGAAAAAACTAAACAAAATGCGTTGTTGGCCTATTTGGCTTCCGAAAAGAAAGCGTTAGATTATTTAAAAATTTAAAATAAATTGAAACAATTTTCGACTCGGGCAGGACTTGAACCGGCATCTTCAAGGTTCAGTGCTGTTGCTTTCTAGTGTACTTTAGAGAGATTTTTTTTTTTTTCAATTTATGTTAGATTTTTAAATAATTTAACGCTTTCTTTTCGGTTTTATTTATTTGAAAAAAAAAACGAATTCTTTAAGACTATTACTTCCAATTTAAACTTTATTCTTAATAGCACTAGGCGATACGTTTCCGGAGCTATCCAATGCCTATATTTTTAAATTCCCTAATGTCATAATATCTTGAACCGGAACCATTATCCGCTTTTATGTTTTCGGAAAAACCTCCCAAGAAGACCGACAGTGCGTTATTAGACGTGTCAATTCTAACAGCTTCTGTCTGCCGCCCTGTAATTTTACTAAATCTATTGCGACTATTATCTATGGTTTTTTTAATAGAGGGAGACACTAGATTCTGAATTTTCAATCTTTGTCATACAGAATTGAAGATGTTTGGCCCAAGTTGGCAATTTCGAGCTAATTTAGTATACTTCAATAATTTTGGAATAGAGCCATAAGTAAAGGACTTAACAGTTTAAAACAAAGTATAACTCAGTTAATTTATATACTTCGCGTTAGTCGGTTACTTAATATGAAATCAACGAACACTAACCCCATTTTCATACCATAAAGTTAACTGTCTACTGTTAACTTAAAAGCAAATCTATCACCTAAACACTTTACATTATCATATACAATTTTCGCTTAATAAATTATTTTAAAACTTTAAAATACGAACTTGTAATCTCAATATGTTTAAGTTTGAACCGTTTGTTAGTCTTCGTAGTCAATGTTTTGTTACCTACACGAAGATGAACCCTTTTTGCATTTAAATATTTACTTTAATTAAAACATTATCCAAATTACGCTTAAACAAGAAGTTTGAAATTTTGGCAATATCCGTTGTGTGGCCATGTAAAACATCGAAGCGAATTATCATAATTTATAATGTTCGATAGCATAATCCCACTAAACGACTTGAATATTAATGTTAAAGATGGGTTATTTCTCGTAATGATTATTGAATTAAGAAATGTATGGAAATCATCGTTGTTTCTCTTTAGTAATCCTAAACAATTACATCTGGAAATTAAAGTTGCTTGAAAATATATTACGAAGGGAAGTACCTGGTCAGGCAATATTTTGATTTCCGTATAGAATTAATTATATGTACATGACATTGTAATAGTATGTCTCCCGTGAACATGGCTGCTGCAAAAGCACCCGAAAGGTCGGCCGTAGTTAAAATAATTTTCAAACAAGTTTAACTAATATATATCGCATTTAAACCCGTTAGTGTTTAATTAAAATGTATAATTGTAATTTAAATACGTGATAGACGTGTCAACACCGTGTACATACAAATTTATTGTTTTTTTCAGAGCTCAGATACATAATACCGTCTTTTTGAAGGACTAAAATGGTACAGCACAAACATTAAACTATTTCCTAATATAGATTATATTCGGAAGTAACCCGGAACAAGTGATCAGCATAACGGTTAACCCTTCGCCAACTGTATACAGTTACGAACGACCCTTCTACAGGTTTTTGTTGAAATTATCACGCATCACTTGCAGTGGCGTCCCGTTACGTTTGAGGTTTCGTTGATCAAATGTTGATTAGAAATACATTTGTTCTTAATGTAACATTATCATCGTCTACTATGCGATAATTATTAAAATATCTTACATTTTGTCAAAAAATAAAAATAACACTTGTCAAGTGAAAAAAATTTCCCCCCCGTTTAGCTTAATTTTCAGTTTTAACACATCATTGGGAAGAGGGGTTACATTTTTATGATGATTACGGATATACTTAAGTAGGACGAAATGCAAGCTTGTAAATTTTAAGCGTTTAACCATCGTGGGCAGTGGGTAAGTTAGATTGTGAGGACGTTTTTTTAACGCGAAATCCGAGCCGTGTTGGCGGGTTAATGATGCGGAAAATGATGTGAAAAAACACGATTTCGACCCGAATCAACCCGTTCGTAATATTTAGACAGAAATGTGACAGACTGATTAAATACAGTGCTATTTTAACTAATAATATTAGTATGAGACTATGATGGTTTATTTCTTATGCAAAAATTAAAGACACATTATAGATTGTAATTTAGACGGCGGCGTTAAAAAGACCTTTTAGTTTTAAAGCAATAACAAAACATCATAATGCAAGACATGTTTCTCATTAAGAAATAAATTTAAAAAAATTGGGTATATCGTTACAATTAGAAATACCTTTTGAATGATAATTACATTTATATAGTTAAGCCTATCAATTTGCGTAATAAACAAGTATTTAGTTCAAGAAATAGTTACCAAACTTGTTTGCAACAGCAACCAAATTTTTAAGAGACAAAAAATGCGCAGCTAAACTTTTGCTTAATTTAATCTCGTCTAACATAAACTAGTTACTTGTTAGGCTAGGTCTAGGTCATTTAACTGTGAGTAAAGAATGTGTATTTTTAGATATAAAATATCAAGTCTTGTCTGTTGTTTACACGAGTAGTACACATTTTAATAAAACATTTTGACGATTCAAATACGTAAACATGATGTTGACTTTGTTTTAATGCCACGTTTAAATTATAACAGTGTCTTAATTCAATATTTATTTGTTAGAGTTCTACAAAAATATGAAATGTAATATAGTAAATTACTATGTATATCAATATCGTGCAGTACCGCCTAGTACTTTAGCTCTCGACAGTGTTTTTATATACTTAATAAACGAGGTATTAATTAAGTCAGTAATTTGGAAATGCAGAATTTCGCAAAACCGTGAGATTCTGAAAATCGACCGGACCACCGGGGGTTGAAAACTGATACATAGATCTAAAAGACTGGAAGGTTCATATCGTCGTGAATACATTTTGTATTATAAAAAAAAGGTTTGATGTTTGAAATACCATATTAGATATTGCTTTCCAATTTGCAATTTGTGCAAACAAACGGTATTCAATGACACTTCTATCTTGGTTTCAAGTCAAAGATATATAGCGAGTCATATTTCGTTTTGTACTAAAAGTCTCGCCTACATGCGTGTGTTATATATCGATATACAATTTATATGTTCGTTCGTGAAAATTGCAAAGATTCTTCTTTCCTTAATAAAAATTACTTAGTCGCTTCGACATCTCTATATCTGTGTAAATCACAGGCCACCTACTATCTCGTGTTGAGTTTCACCCACCTCGCGACTTAACTGAAAACTATATCAGGTTCGATTCCCGATCGGTGTCGAGTGGTGACTGGTTCACGAGTACTTCATTCAAGCCAAAATTAATATCAAGTTGTACACTTTTACAACGGATATTTTTAAAGCCTTCTTTATTTGGCGATCTCTTTCATTTACCACTTGTTTTGTTCAGTTTAGGAAGTTAAACGTGTCCGAATAAAAAAATATTTGTAATATAATTGATTCAGCATTAGAGATACAACGGAGCCATTAAAGTTAATAGGTTGTCATACTTATTAAATGTTAATAATTAAAGTGCAGTTGTGGTACAATCTTTTCTTATTCTTACACATGTTGGATATTTTTGAAAAGTTACGTTTAGGTATTTTTTGTGGCGAGAGTTCTCATAAATTACATGGGAATTCAATGCAAGGCCTAATTATATGTGGCATACGGTATCAAAAATCTATCGATGCGTTTTATCAATAAGAAAGGCAGAACTAGGTTGGCACGCAGATCCAAGCGTCAAACAATACTCGGTCGGCACACGCACTGCCCCAAGAATAAAATAATTAATGATGATTGCCCTCAAATTACCCTCTCGATCTCATCGAGCATCTCTTTCGCACGCCTGCGATAACCCGCAGCCCGCTCGCTCCCACACACAGGGAAAATATATAAGGGTTGACAGGTAAACGGGAGCGGCAGAACCCTTCGGGACATCAGACTGTGCACCTGTGTTAAAATGGCAACCGAAATGTACGGACATCGACTCTTGTACTCCGAGAAGGACATCTTCTCATCAGACGTAATGTTGGAGTATTCCACCGAAGAGTGTTACTTAAATTGGCCAAGGTCACCAGATTCCGGCCGTTCCAGCTTGGAACCGACTTCGTCGCTGGACGGAAACCACGAGTCTACACATATAGCGTATAGAGGATTGCCGAACGATATTTTAGAGGAGGAAGACGCTGACCTGGAAGCGTCTGGAAAGAGAAGAGGCCGCGCCACCAGTGCGGCGGTTTTGAAGCGACGTCGTCTAGCTGCTAATGCCAGAGAGAGGAGACGAATGCAAAATCTGAATAAGGCGTTCGACAGACTCCGTGGTCACCTACCCTCCCTGGGCGCTGATCGTCAACTATCCAAGTACGAGACACTGCAAATGGCGCAGACCTACATTGCGGCGTTGTACGAACTGTTGCAGTGAAGTGTTATTTTGGGTGGGTTGTTTTTGTTTGTTAACGTTGTTAATTTAACGTACGTTAAAAGTATCCGTTTCTTTAAATGTTAAGTGTAAGTAAAACATAGCTTAATTGACCCGCCCCTAGAGGTAGATATTTAGTGAAATGTACATTGCAGATGAAGCCAATAAGAGATTATAGGTAGTTGCCAAATAGTTAGCGTCTACAGGGATATTTATATAGTACCGTAATACTCGTTACCGTAGATTTTATAATTAATTTCTTTCTCTTCGCTTCTTACGCTTATCTTGTGTAATCCGTCCTACCGAGTTTAGTTTTAATCTCAGTTAACATCTTACCGTAAAGTATTACTTTAATTTAGCTTAAGTTTAGTTTAAGTAGAGAATATTTAATAAATTATTGTTAAATTGTCTACAACAATGTTTGTAAATACACGAAGTCTGTTTATATATAATATTTTATTTCTTCACCTCATATTTTATTCAACTTATTTTTTGTTATATTATTTAATTCATTAATTTAAAACACGATTTTCTAATTATTCACAATCCAAGATCTTTAAAGTAAATAAAACAGATTCTTTCAGAATATAACTATGAACTTTAAGATCACATTCAGAAGTAGGCCGAAAGTTCCTAAATTTAAAAATGTCGTGTAAAGTTTATCATACAAAATACACAGAAATATATACAAGATAAATAATAAAAATTAAATAAATAAACTGAATGTATTGACCAAAGGGTTAAGTACCTATACTATATTCATAACTTAATGAAAATAATTATCATGAGTGAAAACTAAATATAATTTTTACATATATTTTGCACACGATGGAAATCAATAAATAAAAAATCGAAAATAAGTGTTTTTTTAAATCAATAATTATCAAATCTATATGTCTACAGAATTTCTTTTAAATCAACAAGTATAATTTAAAAGTAATTTTCTTATATTCAAATATCAAGTCCTTAACTACTGAAAACTTATACAGGGTCGATTATATGTATATACATATACAGATAATACGTGCATAAGTTTGAAGTGCAATTTAAATAAGCCTAAAATAGGGTAGGCTTATCAATCAGATCGACAGAACAATCAGTCGCTCTATGCAAATTACGCAGATGTTTACACGAAACTGTTGTCCAGTACACATTGTCTAAGGGTAACGCATTTTCTCATTGTTTCGTTTCTAATCCTACTTTTTTAAATCATACAACATCTTAGCAAGATAGGAGATAGGTCGACACTATTGTAACTCGGGACGTTTGAAAATACGACTGAAGTCGAAACGCAGATTTACAACAACAAATTTTGATTATCTCACTACCTATTCATTTTTCAGAATTTCCAGACATGTTTTAGAAAAGTTATTAGGTAGTTTTTGAGTAAATAGATTTTCGAAGCGAAGCAACGTAACGTTGATTATTAGATAATTATTCTAATGCCACAATTGAACCAATGAGAACGTGAATGAGTACTGTCGTCTGAAGATTTTAAAAATAAAGATAAGGTAAGTAATACATACTTATATGAAATTGAATAAAACTTTTTTGGAAAATTTATCAAAATAAATAAAATTTTACATTGTATTAACATGAAAGCAGAAAGTCCCAACGAAGACAGCTATTGTTTCTATACTAAAATAGAGGAGGAATTTATGAAATCCTTGAGCGTCACTTATTATTTATAATTATGAAATCAAACCAAGCTTTCCTACAATAGTTATAACGTTTAGACCTATCAAAAAATTCCCATTTCAGGATATAAAATTGCGCCATTAAAAATATCACTTTTTTAGATTTTACAATAATTATCGCTCTCATTCCGGCGTATAATTAAAAGGCGCGAACGTAATTAACGGTTCCGTACACTTCTGACGCCTTGCGTCTTCATCGAGCTGTCGCGTTTGACAGCTATCGGGCTTGACAGCTGTCAAATGCGCCGAGTCATACGCAATTCTATAAAGTGATACGTTATTATTAGTGCTGTATTTCGCATTGTTAATAGGAACTTTTTTTTGGGTGACTGTAGCTTTTAGGTGTGAGAAATTTCGCTCGCCTTGTTAGCAGAGTGATGCTCTGTTGGTTTATAATCGCCTTGCTTATTAAATGTCATCTAGAGATCTCAAAATATTATAAAATAAGTTGAGATAATACAACTCGTAAATACAATACAGCATACAATAATAAAATCCTTTATTTTTAGATCACTTAAAAAGCGTCTTCAATAGATTGGACGATAATGTTTAGCTTTTAAAAGTTATAGTCTAAATACAAAGAGAAAAGTAAACTTTTAAAGTATTTTAGTTATAATATATTTTATACACTTATATGCTGCTAATCATGGCTTAAATGTACGTCATGATTCATAAACAAATCATTATTCACAGCGGATCTCTAAATCTTCAAAGTACCTATTCATTGCTCGGTGCTTTATTGGTTGTCGCTCAGCCAATAGGAGAAGGGGCATAGCGCACGCGCACTGCATAGAATTAGAATTGTAAAGGGGATATTACGTACATATAATGTACAATACGTGAATAAAGGATGCGCTTATATACGTACTAACTGAATAGATTTTGCAGTTTATTATTTACGTTATTACGTTACGTTTACGTTTATTATTTGAAACGCGATTCGTTACGTTTCTTCTATGTTATAAGTAGACATATAATTATGTCCGTTTTACCCATTAGAAAACAGACGAGCACAAAATAGCTGTTTTTGTATGATCATATTTTTCAAAATTATTGTTATAATGTGGTCTAAATACTAACTTCCTAGAATTCTTTGTCTTTCCCCGGGCATCTAAGACGGAACCTCTCACACAAATCAAGAACTAGGCGATGCCGTTTTTAACTAACGTTTATGAATTCAACGCTGATAAGAAATCTTATTCTAAGCTTTTGGTTAGATTGATAGAAGAGACTAAGTTTTTATTTTTAAGCTGAAATAAAATAAAGTTGTGTTTATAATATTTGATTATATTGTTTTTTGTTAGTTATTGCAATGCCTAAGGTTATCGAACTCCTCACTAAATTTAACCAAACCCCAAAAGCTGTACTCGGTATTTAGTCCGTCCAGTAGAAATAATTAAAAAAGTATTTCGCGCACTGAAAGTCGAGGGTCAAATTATTTTAAATTACCGATTGAACAATTACCACTCGAAGGTCGATCGAAATTAAAGTTAATCTCAATCGGTTCACGATTTACAGACGTACAGACAGACAGACAGGATGTGTCGTAATTAGGCTGTCGGCTAAAACGCAAGTGCCAAGTAGGATCTTAAATTAGATTGCATTGTTGTATTTGCAGGTGCTTTTGCGCAACTCCTTCGGCCGAAGAATTATGAGCGTCGCACATATAACTATAAATAAAAAGATACTGACTGGATGTAAAGGTCCAAGATTTAAAATTATGAATAAAATTGAGAATCGTTATCCTGCTTGTTTATTAATATACTTATTAGATATATAAAGTAAAAATTAAAATTTTACCAGTAGGTAGGTACAGTAGTAGTAGGTAGGTAGGTACCTAGGTAGTGATTTTAACCTGTTGTTTTTGTATTAATTCCTAATTGGTAGAAACTCTTCTGTAAAGAAGTAACTAAATATTTTATTAGAAATTTCGTTCGGGATTTCAATCCCGGAAAAAAGATCGATCGCGCAGCGTACATAAAAATCTGATCAATTACACGATTGTAAATGTGACGGACGAACACAATTGTATTGCTCCCATGCCCCAAAGAGGGGATCGGTTCACTTTTTCAAACAATACTAATAAATAATCTAAAAAATTAAGCTTATTTATAAAACTAACTAGACACTACCTACTAGATAGACTAATGTTTAAAAAAGTCGATTCTAAGTCAAACAAATAATGACATCAAACCTACCAACATACCCACCCACTACCCAGTAGTAAATGATCGTAATATTAATGTATTAATCATAAATAACGGAAATTAATCAAAAAAATAACGGACGAGGCGTGGTCAGAACCATCAAGGCCGCTAAAAAAACTTAATTTTTATTAAAAGTTTAGGGTTCTCTACAAAACGATAAATGGTAGAGTTTTGAATAAAACCCTTTTCAACGTTTTAAAACACGTTTAAAATACATGGGGTATTACAATTAGCAAGAGCTGAAACATTGGGTCGTTGTTAGAAAAAAGTTGACTAATATTTCATGTTACAAGCGGTTAGAAACGTTTTAATTTAAATGCGTAAACTACAGAATACTACCTATTAGGTCAGGAGGTAATCCTTAGTTAAGGAAATATCAATTCTAAGTTTTATCAAATACGGACTTCGTATTAAACGTCACATTTTTTATGTTATTTTATGTTCAAGCTTCTTCAAAAAATAACTAAAAAAAATAAACTACTTTTCGTAGTAATAAAATTAAAATGTACAGAACCATAATTTCAAAATACCGCAATCTCTTTTCTAATTAAGATAAATAAAGGCAATCGAGGTAATTAAATTGTTTAGGTTTGGCGATATTTCATTCAAATTGGCTACCTATTAACATGGCATTATTTTAAAGTATTAAATTTATTTCGCAAGTATTGTCTTGCACTGCTTAAATCCTTTACGGTTTGAAATCCGAAATATTTAGCTTTTACTAATTTGTAATTTACGACTTATCATTCGTTAGGTTTTTAAAGATTTTTTATATTAAGCTCGAAGTAAACAGTTAAAACGATAGGCAGTAAATGGCTTTAGTGTTATTATATTTAACAATGACCACATTTCATATCGATTGTTAAGTAGATTTGAGCTTTAACTGTCCATTTAGAATTCTTATTAACAAGATGGGGTGTCGGCCTATTTTAGTCTTGGTTATTCGGAAATCCACAGACTGAAACCGAGACACGATTAAACTTCACACTTTTATCTGTGGACTGGGTGCTTCCTGATCCGGGCAATTCAACACCCATTTATTAATTCCCAACAAAGTTTTAACATGTTTCAGGTAAATTATATATTAATTAACAAACAT